AGATAGAGATGATAGAAAAGAGACTGAAGGGAGTTGTGTTATGACTGTGATGAGCTGTTTGTTCCGGATCACCAATGTAAACAATTGTTTTGGTTCGAGATTGAACACGACACTGATCTGAGCAACAAGAAAAGACTAACAAGGCAACCATATCTACAATTTAAGCTTGAGGACAAGCTTGAAAACTAGGGGAGAGTAATGTTATGGATGTAAATATAAAAGGTGCAGAAAGAATAGGAAATTGACGTTCACTTAAATATGACATTCTAATTAGTATTAGATTTCTAAATAATATATATTTTCCATTAGTACTTGATTCTTAAATAGTGTAGGATTTCTAATATTTTAGTAGAGTATTCGTAATTATATTTAGATTTCAAATTACATTAATATTGCTAGATAAGAATTGTGACCTCTATGTGAAAGGGTATGTTTGATATTAATAAACAGACGTCAGAATATTATTTTAAACTATAAGATTAAAGCTATTTTTAACGAGATCCAACGTTACAGATTCCTTTGATGAGCTGTTATTTATTTTGAATACTGTAGGAATCAGAATTTTTAAAATTTTCTTTTTAGAATTTTCTTTATTAGTTGTAACTAATGGCTATATAAATACTAATAGTCATCAACAAAAAAGGGTACACAATTATGAATTAAGAATTTTGTTATGAGTGTTTTATTCTTTGTTATCTTTCTTTTTGTTCCTTCTTCTGATTATTATTCTATCTAAGCTATCTCGTTCAATCCACTTCTTATATTTTTTCACTTTAATGTCTAATTTCCTCTGGCCTATTTTCATTTTTCTGTTTGTCACCTGAACTTTCTCTATTTCTAACAATCCATAGGACAAGGTAGTTTAACCTCTATTTGTCCTGCTTTAATGTAACTCCAGCAACTCATTAAACACTAGAATTAAAAAATTACCTTTGCTAATTTTTGGGTTCAAGATTTATAATCTACATACAACCTTTATGTATCATTGTCTTTCTTCACCAAAGCATTGGTCAGGAGAAAGAAGATTGACTCGGTTGGGATAAAAGATAAGGGCACATTATAACTGGCTGTCTAGAAAAAAAAAAAAGTGATGCAGTGATCGACTGAATGCAAATGAGGCATGCTTTTAGGGTCTTTCAAAAAAGAGAGAATTTTGATAGTAGCTGTTGAAGTTCTATTTCACAATTTGAGTCCACAAGTTCTGTTAACAAAATTATTTGAGATATATGGCAGACATGCGAGTCCTGTATCCATTTCAGAATTATTGTTTCCCCATTTTTTCATAAACTGCATAACCATGAGACTAAATCTCATGTAATGACCCTAATGCCCTCAACTAGTTAACCTCATGCACTATGCCAAACCCAGTTAACGAAATTAGTAATAAATCAGCGGAAAGGACAGAATTACCCAAGTCATGAGCTTTGCAACAAATTCTATCCCTGGATTTATTTGCCATTTGCCACCATAACATTGTGCTCTCTCTTTGATGATCAGATCTGTCTCTCGTGCCAAATTTGAGTTCAAAAAATTGTGGGTTCTACCAAAATCGACAAACACCAGCTCTAGAAATGTGTCTAAAAATCCACTTGCATTCTTTGAGACTATCGAACACTTATGATTGCATGGATTGAAATCTCAAGTTCAAATAAATTTGGTAAATCATCTTCCATTGAATCTGTCGGTTCTGGTTCTTTTAAGACCTCTGACCAAAACAATCGCTTCCAGTGATGCTGTAACAAGCTTCTCATCACAGTTAAAAAGATAGGCCTCTGCTTATCAATGTCTATTTGGGATAGCCACTTAACAAAAGGATAGCTAAATTGCCATCCATTTGCCTGACAGGAGGCAATATGGCTGGTGAGGACTGGTAATTGTGCTGCCTTCATGCAGACACTTATGATTCATAACAGTTGCCAAATCTGGTGGATTTTGCAACTTTATCTCCACTGTGATATGATCCTAAAAACTGCTTAAAAAATTTTGATTTTCTTCTCCTGATTTAGGGTTCTGGCACGGGCCAAAAGGTGCTCAAGGTCACGCTGTTACTGGTACAGAACCCACTTGGTACGGTTAATCAGTTTTGCCAGTTTGTTATCCTGGAATGAGGAGCCAAATCTTAAGTGGCAGTGTTTCTTGAATTGGTCCTAAGGGAGGCAAGGACGATTCCTCTCCAACTTTAAAACCACAATTGTGCTTCTCTTTCCAAATGAAAAAGAGGCCAAGCTAATCTCCTTACTTCTGACGTTTGAAGAAAATGCTCACAGCAACTAAGCTATTCCTTCAGATCCATGGACCCCTTGTAGCATGGAAATTGAGTTTAGAATATTTGGAGAAAAAGAAACTTGCATGATTTGCACAAAGCCTTGTCCTCTGCATTATTCTCCATTCTTGCAATTGACATTGTCTTCTTCAACCTCACAATCTTCAAGTCTAGCAGGAGATAAATGCTTTTGATGAATT